TAACAAATATATTTGCATTTTTTTATATATATATATATACACACACACACACACACACACACAGAGAGAGAGAGAGAGAGAGGCCATTCTAACTCAATTGTGCATAACGCAGTTTTCCCCTTACAAATTAGGGAATTAATTTTAAAGTATTGCATACATTTTGGTTTCAGGAAAAAAAAACAACCCTCCATAAAGATAAGGATTTAATAAGGATAAACAAGAATTTATAAATATGTATTCATAAGTATTTATAAAATATATACTGACTTATAAATATATTAAAATTTGAATATATATTTATTTTATAGAAACATAAATAAAATAGAAAATAAACAATATTTTATAAATAAAATGTATATTTCTTAATAAAATATAAGGGTTTTTTTATGCAATGTAAGCACTTTTGAGGGGAGTCACTTCTGAACTTCCCTGCAGTTGATGCCCTTGAGTTCTAAGATTCTGGAGAAAAACTTTTTCTCTATATTTTCCAAGCCACGAAACTCACCAATTTTTTTACTCTAGGTAAAAAAGCTCCATATGCTACAGTCATGGAGATCTGATATTACATCTTCTAAATCATTTTGGTTATTCTTCTCTGCATCTTTTCTTCACCCCAAAATAATCTTTTTTGAGACATGTTCATGTTCTATTCTACTCCAGGTTCATACAAGGGCAACTTAAATTGAATTAATCCTAGTTCATCCTTTTACAACCAAGTGTAAGGCAGCATTATCTTCATATCTTGTGCTAGAGACCCAAGGAACTAGTGAGGGATTATATTTGGAAATTAAGAACCTCCCTTTCCCCCATCCCACCCATTATTATGGCCCTGAAATTGTACACATTTCTGATGCAATCGTAACACACCGCTTCCTTAATCAGTGTAACACATGGATCCAATTTTTCTTGAAATAACCAATTTTCTGGGAAAAAAAAATCTCCCTACCTTCTCCTAGTAGAAAGATTTTCTTCACTTTCACTTATTACCAAGACTCTGCTGGAGCCTCCCTGACTCGCTTCATGCATCACTTCAATCTGGATAGTAGTTTTGAAAAACAGAGGGGAAAAAAAAGTTTCAGATTCAGGGCTCCTTTATCTGCCTAAGAGACCCCGGCTGAGTCTCCACGCATCCTGCCGATTTCTAAGTAAACGTCATACAAACTGCCGTCAACTGGATCCTCACATTTTTAAAAACCGGAACTGCAAAATCATTATGGCTTAGGTTTTAGCCATTGCCTGTCAATTTTGTTTTGACTCTACAACTGGTGATCTTACAACCACCTTTACATGCAATCAAATCCTTATTCAGCAGCGAGTCTCATGTGAAAAATGATGAGGATTCATTTGTGTGCAATTAATGTTCAAGTCCAATGATTCTTGAAAAATGTTCTAATATCTGTGGATTTACCTGAGGCTCTCTATTCCAGTATTTATTTCTCTTATTCTGTATGTTTAGCATCTCCTGCTACTTGATGATTTTATCTGGTGATATCAAAAACTGATCTCAGGATCTTCTACTTAGAGTCAGGCAATCAACTCTTTTACCGGCTGGAGGTTGAGCTTTGCTATTAAGATATTTAATAGATGCTTCCTTTTGTTGGATCTGTTTCTGAATGTTTCAGAGAGCATAGCTGGTGACCAAATCATGCTTCTAAAAGGTGGGCCCATGTTTCTGGGTATGTATGTGTGCTGGAGGTGGAAAATAGGTATATTAAACTATGCAGTAATTTAACCTACCACCACACCCCTGCCAAAAAAATTCTGAAACATGACACCACCAAAAATAGGTGATTTTATCTATTTATTACTTTAATTTTATGTGCAATGTTGGTAGTAAAATCTTGGGGGTGGGGGGAGTCTACGAATTGGAAAAATGGGAGGCTGAGCGGAGGGCATGTATTCAACCCCCATACAGTATGAGATCTGATTGAGCAGACCCATTCTGGTTAATTAGCAATCTTTCCTTCTTTTGTGCAATGCACTTTTCCTACTTTGACAGATTTCAGCCTCAACTTTGAATCTCAATACATTCTGGTGTGTTACTGAATGCCAAGCCCACACTCTGAAGTCAGAAGCTGGCCTATTCCAAGGCACATCAGGGAACTTCAAAGGGAAATTCCACTATGAAATCCCTAAACCATAAATCTCTGTGACCAGAGGCTAGTCTGATATTATTGCTATGCACTGTTCGAGAGCACAGTTGATTTTTCAACAGACAGTTAATTTTTTTTCATTCAAGACCCATACAGAAATCCAGGTAACTACAACATAAAGCTTTGACTCTACCAGACCACAAAATCAGGGAGTCTGAATTTTCCAGAACTCTTCTTCGGACTGGTTTTGAACAAGGTAATAATCAAAGCTGGGGAAAAGTGGGGCACAAAACAATTTTTTTAGCCCAGATTTTTTTACATATTAATCAGCTGCAGTCTCCAACTTGCAATCTTTTAAAACAGAATAAAGCCACTGTTACGCAGGCCTACAGTAGAATTTTATGCAAGTCACTTCCATGAGAAATACTAATTTAAGTATAACTTTCTTTCTTATTCACCACTTGAAATTGTGCCTTAATTTACTTACCCTGTGCTTAGGGTAAAACCTTAGGTTGTTATGAGGCATGCTAGGAGAAATTCTGGAAAATAAACAGTTGATTCTCCTGTAAGTCAGGAAAATCTTTAAAAATGCTTTCATGATGGAACAGAAGGAAGAAAATGTAAATGGATTGATGGTTACAAAATACAGGGAAGCATGACAAGAATTCCCAGGGGAGGTCAACAAAGTCAAGATGGGAGTGTGACTATGATCAAAGGAGCTTTGATCATATAGAAATGCTCCCATCTTGACTTTTTTGACCCTGGTGCAAGTAAAAAAGGGACGGGACTTTGTCCCACTGGGTTTGTCATCTTGACTTTTCTGACCCCCATGTGAACTCTCCACAAATGAATTATGGGGATCAATCATTAATGAATTAATGTGAATAAGTAGGGAGGAGGCACAGACCCAAAACATAAGGACTAGAGGCACGTAACTGGTGAAAGAAGCAACAGGGTTCCTTCATTACTCTATGCAAATGCCTATTTATCAAGATGAGAGAATGACACAGAATCATAAAGATTATCCTTAAAACAAAGCACTATTTTGATGCACAGAAGATGTGTAAAATTTTCAGCACACTTCAACAGCTGTTTTGATGCCTTAGAGCTATACCATGTGCAACACCAGATACGCCCCATGAGATTTCTCTATTCAAAATTTATTTGCAAATGTAACAACTTTCTTACCTTAATTCCACCTTTAGCCTTCTTTACACTTTTCTTTTTTGACAAGTCTGCATCAGAGACAGATTTTGGAGGGCTAGGAATTTCTACTGATCTTCTATTGGTAGCTGGAAAAAAAGACCAAACAAACAGACCTCATGAAATATCAGAAAATGCCACACTACAGGCAGAGCAAGACTTGACTTTATATGTCAAAACGTTCACTGGACTAGGCAGCATTTATAGTTTTGTTAACAGATGTCTGAAATGAAATCTGTCTAACTTAATTGTGCTGCATATACTCTGGAATTGTTTAGGTTTTGTTTTTTTTCTCTCTCCCCCCTTTTCATTTACACATTAGCTGCGTTCACGGGACACAAACCATGTTTTAAACTGTGTTGCAAGAGCCCCACCTGCCTAGTACACTTGAGCATTCAGTGTACTGTACAAACCCAAGATATTAGGTCTCTTGAATAAGCCATGATCCTGTGTCAAGAGTTACATTTTGAGCTGCTTGTATTTATTTTGCTAATTTAAAACATGCTCTCATGTCATTTTTGCAATATTATATACTGAAGCTGATACTTAACAATGACACTGAGGTTTTCTTTACTTTTAAATCTATTCGTACAGAAAAGAAAAATGCAGTCAAAACTATATGGGATACTGAAACCCACCACAGCAAATGTGAAGGACAACCTATATATGGCTGTGTATTGTCTATGTAACCTGTTTGCTGAATTAACCCACTGTCTATATTTGCACAATAACTTGAACCATAAATAACTCACTCAGTGGGCTGGGTATACTAAAACACAGAAAACCTAGCCAACCCCAACCAATTTTAGCAGTTGTGTGAATGCAGCCAACAGGTCTTTAACTGACCTGGGCAAGCCTGCTGTGTGAACACAGCCCAGGTATATAGGGTTGGCCTTCTCTTTATGGTTGTTGTTGTTTAGTCGTTAAGTCGTGTCCGACTCTTCGTGACCCCATGAACCATATTGCGCCAGGCCTTCCTGTCCTTCACT